CATGCACGTACCTGCTTCTTTGTTCTCAATCTACAACATCTGAAAAACTCTTTGCACGCTTGGGAAAAAAATGCTGATGTCTGCTTAAACAGATACCTCCTCGGGTACACGGGATTTTGTTTAAGCGTGGTATCATTTTTGAAGTTCAACTTGTAAGCTGTGAAAGGATTCTGAACTAAACTAACTAAACTACTGCCTCAAGACTTCACCATTTTTGTTTTAGGGACTTCAAAATTTCTACTGGAGAATCTCTAACACAGTTCTTGAACATCAGGTAAGAGAACAAATGACTTCATTGCTCCATGGAAAAACAACTGAACCCTCGCTTCTCGGGCAAAGTTTTCCAAGAGTATTTATCAAGTCAGTTTGTACCAAAAAGAATAAATCCATCCAGCAGTCTGAACACTACTGCCTGTGAATAAAATCAGAATCTCTCTGCTATATCTTCTGTAGGACACGTACTACTAACAAATAAAGGTTACTACTGCCAGGAGGCAGGGCTTCAGGATACAGAAAGATACACATTCTAGCTCTACTACTGCAGCATTTCAGGTGGCTACAAACCACCGTGCAGCACCTAAAAGTCCACAGCTACCCTACAACTCAGTCAGTCCGGCACTATTCCACTTCCAGCAGTTTGAGTTCTTTGATTCGGCTGCACACTTGACCTGGCTAAACCTTACTCCAGCTGAGAAAGCTGCATGTTGTGGCAGCGCTGGGTTGGTAGGCATTGTGCAATCAAGTGGGAGGCCTTACGTGCTCATTTGTGTGTCAGTACCCAGAACACTGCTTCTAGCTTCCAGCTACTTCATAGAAGTGCTGCTGGGACTTGAACCGTGGGAACACTGCAGCGCTAGCTCGTGTGGGTGTGTTCACACGTGTGCAAGGAAAGCTCTCTTCTTCTCTTGGTGTCTGATCACACACAGTTCTGCTAAAAGCACAGATGTCAGGCACACAGGTAGGAAATTTGAAAGCACTGTCAAATGTTGCTCGGTTCAACATTTAAAAAAGAAAAAAAGGGTTCAAAAGAGAGAGTCAAACCCACCCTCCTTTACTGGAAATAGCAACCAACAAAGCCTTCGGGCCTGCTTTTTGATCTAATTCAGTCACAGTGGAGGCACACTGATGTTCAGAAAGCAGAGAGCTGTCACACAGAAGTGGAAAGAGAGCATGAGGAACACACTAAGGCCGTATCCACACCAGCAAGTGAACGCTGAACACGCACCAGCTGCTCAGCTCCAGAAAGAGGCTTTGGCACTGATGATGGATTTCTAGGACCCTGTTTTGCAACCCTGTCAGGTTATTCACATTTTCAATTTCTAGAAATACCCCAGAATGTAATGGTTGTGCTCCATGCCAGTAACGGTGGATGAAGTGAGAGACAGGTAGGGAAACAGGACACCCAAGTAAAAGCCATGCTGGTGCATGGAGACTCTGAAAGATCAGAGAGAAAACAAAGCAGAAAAAAAAAAAAAACAACCTGCATGAGAAGGCGGAAAACCCAGTGAAGGACACAAACAAAGGAAAATGGAGAAGTTACCACATCACTCAAGAAAAGAAGGAGCTTTGACAAGTGGCAGGAAGGTGAAGGAGCTTATGGGAGGTCAATCACTCATCCAAGGATGAACAGGGAGGATGCAAAGAACATAATTTTAGCAGAAGGTTAAGGAAAGTGGCTGAGGCCTCTATGGTTCCTGCTTTAGTGGGGGCTCCAGCTGTCACAACTACCTCCAGTTTCTGGTTACGACCCTTTGCTGACTCCATACAGAACTAGGGGAAAGCTTCTACTGCAAGTGGCAAGACCAGGCAACACGCATCTTGTTGAACCAACCAGGCTGACAGAGACAATATATTTGCATGTACGTATCCACCTCTCAATACAGACGCATAGATATGCACAATGGATACTTGATGAATATAGAAATATATGTTGGGAATGAAATATCTAGGTAAATCCATGCCTTGTAGCAACGCTTTAAAACCACATGAAGGAAAGAAAGGGGAAAAAAAAAAAAGGGAAAAAAGGCAGTTTTGCCAGTATGCTGGATCTGCAGTGGGGGCTTGTGCCAACCCAGCTCCTCCATTTAAGTCAGACCCTTAAAAGGCAGAGCTGTGCTGGCAGAAATCCACATACCTCATCACATAAACCTCATGAAGACGTCTAAAAAGGTCAAAAAACTCACTGCTGCTTAAACGGCCATAAAAACGGTCATATGCATCCCATGCTACCAACATACTAACAGAGCCCCAGGGAAAACACAACGCACAAAGCGATGTGTACACACATATACATAAACAAATAAACTGGAAAACTGACAAAGAGCCCACTCCTGAAAGTAGACGACCAGGTATCTGACACAGCAGATTATGGCACACGAGGAGCACCAACACCTCTGTATAAAATAGAACAAAGTCATGCAGAGATCTACATCAAAAAGGAAGACCACCACAAAGACACATGCTTCGCCCTTTCATCCGCAGACAGACAGACACAGAGCCCAACAGACACACAAAACCCACACAGCTGACAGTAACTAACACAAACACACACAGGCAGACATGGGACCATTCCTTCCTTTCCTTAATAGGCATCTAAACTTTACTCCAATGTTACTTGCCCCTGGCCACAGCCTACCGATCTTAGAGCCTGATTAAATCTCTTCGTAATTATCTGCACATACCGCTACAACATAAATGACCTTAGCATACGATATCCGTTGACTAAGCCCAATGGAAAAAGACTTCAGAAAAAGGAAGGATAAGCACACAAAACCCTGCCAGCACTGTCAGGGTCTCCTCGAGACTGCACCACATTAATGGGAGAGCCCTGAATACAGCTCAAAAGCTTGAAACTTCAGCCCAGTTCTGCACAGGATGTATGATACAGCCGCCTTTTTTCTCCACCCCATCATCTAAGGACACATCACTCTGATCTTCTCCATCAAACTCCTTGCCACCTCCCCAGTGAAACTACGCAGGAGACTTAACGTTTCATGATGACAGATTTTTGGCAAAACTTCCTGAGAAATAGATAGTCATTATTTCCTTACATAAATTTTGGCGTCCATTATTAGGCATCTTGAATTCACTTTGCAAGAAGTGCTGTGCTGCATGCAGATTTTGGAGGGTGGGGGAACAGTACTTGCCACGTTCTGAACTGGAACATATGAAAGGGTCACCAAAAAAGTCAGGCAAAGCCTAGAGCTAGTAGGCTTTTCTTGCTCTCCACCTGCAACCTCCCCGGCGTGCTGGATAAATCATACAACTGAACAGAACGCCATAAAAGCCCTGCAAGAAAAGGAAAGCACGTCTCCACTAACATTCATTCTGAAAATGACCAAGCTAGGGAGAGAGTACCTTTTTGGAGCAAGAATGAGGAAATTCCTTCATTTTGCTTCCCAAACCAAGCATGCCCTAGAAAATTCGTTTCCCAACATGAAAAAACGCTTCCACTCCAGGAGCCGAATTCTCCTCTCCTAGACATCCATCCATACACATCCATCGCCCCATTCCACCTTAGCACATGACTGCCGGAGAACAGACAAGCCATTAAAAACACATCCACCTCCAACCACGGGGATAATGTGGCTCATTACAGCCCAGCTTTGTCCCGGCGGCGGCAGGAAAAGGAGGGGTGAGCACAGGGACTGAACCAGGGGCTGAGCACAAGACCAGCAGAGAAACTGGAACTTGAACGAGTGAGCCTCTGCTCCTTAAAAAAAACGTGGAGGCCAATCAGACGGGTTAACTAGGCCTCTTACTCTCGCTGCAGGAATTACGGCACTGTTTGCGCAGGATATTTTAAAAATCCTGGGTTTTGCGTGGGTATTTTTGTTGCCTTTTTAATAAATAACAGCTCTATTTAAGTCTGAGCGTGCGTCTGCCCGTTTAAACAGGTATTTGGTAAGTTAATCAAGAATTCAACTGAACATTCTCAGTGGGCTTTAAGCATTGCTTCTCTTTTTGAGGCTCGTGTCTTCGCCCTTTCGCTCCAGACACATAAAACCAGCGAAAAGTTCAGAAACCTCTGATGAGGCAGAACCCAACCAACAAACCTGCAGTGTAGAACTCAGTAGGCAAGAGTTTGCTTTAACCTTACACTGGGAGGGGAAGGAGCGAAAAGGGAATTGCTCATGCCACAGCCCATTGCAGCATCGCCAGCCAGCCAGACATCCTGGTGTCTGCCAGCGAGTCCTCAAGGCCTGGTGGCACTGCTGCCCATTGATCAGGACTGGTGCCAAATGCCAAGGCAGCCTCCCACCCGCACACCAGGGATTCTGGGATCTAAAGGCAGCTCAGACTGAAAGAAAAACAAAGGCCACCAAAAAAACCTGTGCTCTAGCTGTCTGGCTCGGCACACATGGCATATCTGAAGAAGCTGCTGCAGCTGGCCCTGGGCAGATTCACTTACTGAATGTATATACATCAGCCAACATACAAAAACCTGTCTGGTGGGGAGGTTCCGACTCCACAGGGATATTCTAAAACCAGAGACTTCTCCATTCGCGTTCCGCACACTTAATCTGAACCTGCATTATTGTCAGGGTTTTTTCTTAGCAGCCACATTTTATTTCAACACAAGCATTTAGACAATTTAGCCCCCACCTCCATCTCTGGCGGCACGCAGCTGAACAGTAAACTGTATATATTTGCATCTGGAGCGATCAGTAACTGTGTTGTGGGGTTTTTTTTTTTCCTAGCTTTTTCCTTGTCTTGACCCCTAATTGAAGCTCTTAAGACCCGAAATCACATACTTCCTGACAAAGTCTGGGGTAGCGTGGTGCGTTTTAAAGATCAAGTTCCATGTATAGTAAGACACGCAAACACACATATATAATTTAAACAAACTCCAACTACCGTGTTCAGAACACAACCGGAGGAAAAAAGGTGTCATCTCAAACACTGCTTGTCTACATTAACACACAGGTGGTGAGAATTAAGAACACAATTAGATTGCTAAATGACTCAAAGCAAAAGCAGCCCGTAAAAAATTAGGTATCTCAATGGATGTTCCCGAAATTACAGAAAATTCCTTTTCTCTTCCTCCTCCCACCCCCTTTAAAATTAAAGGCATCACTTACCCTGGGGGCTTTCCTCTTATATTTGTTGTTATAGTCAAATTTTTCTTTCATTTCATCTAAGAGCTGGCCCAGTCTAGCTTTCTCCTCTTTCCCAGTGTAATCCTGGCTGAGGAGGATATAGGATCTCCAGTTTGCAGAGTCAAAGCCCCAGTGGCAAGTCCTGTTTTCCAGCGATTTGTGAGAGTGGACCACAAATTTGTGAGGTGGGTACATAAGCCTGCAGTCCAAGCACTGGATGCAGGCTGCGCTGGGGTTACTGTAAAGCTCTGGCACCAAGAGTCCCTTACACTTCCCAAAGCACTCATGATACACCTTGAAGCTCTTCTCCGTAAGCTCCAGCTCAATCGTGCTAGAGAATTCCTTCTTGCAGTGGGGAGGATAGGTGCCACCATAAAGCAAGGCGTTACAAAGCCTCTCAGCATCAGTTTTAGTGATGAGCCCGCAGGAAGGAGCAGAGAAGGGCAGGATGCCCATGACTTTGAGGATTTCCAGCTGGTCAGCAGTGCACCTGGAGCAGTAGATATGTAGCTCATCACACACCGAATTAATCTGCTGCAGGGAGAAGTCCCTGAGCACCGAGTTCAGGATCTGGGGCAAGCAAAGCCGCTTTTCTCCACCCACCACGAAGCAGGAGATGGTTTCCCCTTCCAGGATGGTCTCGCACCTCTCTGTGGATCTGTCCGAGGGCATGAAGAAGGGACCGGGCATTACGGGAGGAGGCTGGATAGGGGGCAAATGCAGTACAGGTTCTGCTGGGTCTTTGCCATTGTCTTTCTTGTACATCTCCTGTGCCCATCGTGCTGAGAAAGCAGCAGGGCCACCCAGGGAGCTCATAGAGCTCAGATGAAACTGTTCCAAGGTCTTCTGCAGTCCTGGATGAGGCTGGAAGCTGCTTCTACTTACAGTCTCCATTTTTTAGTTTCTATTCCCAAAACAAACAACAAAAATCCCCAGTTATCTTCCACTCTGGTACAAATCCACTTAAGGGATTTTTTTTAAAGGAAAAAAAAAATATGAACGAAATAAAACAACGCACCCTTGTGTTTTTCTCCTTCCCACTCAGGTTTAACAATCCACTAGCGAATAGGAAATAAATCCTTTTGTACGCGTGTCTCTCTCTTCGTTCTTTTCTCTTGCTTCGTTGCAATTTCAAAACCTCCAAGTCTCCAAGCCGCCCCGATGGAGCACGGAGTCACGCCAAAAAGAGGTCTTCATCCGAGCACTCACCCCCTCAGCCAACCCCCCAGGCAAACCAATCCCGCCTCCCACACCTCCAACACACACACACGCACACACACACGCCACCCACACAAATACAAAAAGTCTGTGCCACGCTCCGAGCACCAGGGGCTCAAATATGTTCTGGCGGCTGCTGCTTCTCTGCAGTAATCCCCCTGCTGTCCATATCCACCGACAGGAAGGCGCGGGGGAGGAAAGCAGAAAGCGGGAGGAGGAAGAACGCTTGGTCTGTGGAAGGGAACAGCGCAGAAGAAAAGGGAAAGGCCCAAATCTCTGGCACTCCCAAAACGGCGCGGGGGCTCCGGACGGGCAGTAAGCGGGCTCCCTTCCTCCTCGTGGTCCCTCAGCTTGATACGGGAGGACTCCTCGCCTCTCGGTTCGCCTTTTTCCCCTTATTTCTCTCGGTCTTCTCGGCGTGCCGTGGGGAGCCGCGGTAACAGAGCGCACATCCTCCCAGCTCCTCTCTCCAGCAGAGACTGAGAGTGCCTGAGAGCTGAGCTAATGCAGGCTGGCTCAGCCTCCCTCACTCCTCCTCCTCCTCCTCCTCCTCCCCCCCTCTGTTT